CCGAAAAAAACGACCATGTATAGCAAGGTGTTTTTAGCCGAAAAAAACGACCATGTATAGTAAGGCGTTTTTAGCCGAAAAAAACGACCATGTATAGCAAGGCGTTTTGAGCCGAAAAAAACGACCATGTATAGTAAGGTGTTTTTAATCCGAAAAAAACGACCATGTATAGTAAGGCGTTTTTAATCCGAAAAAAACGACCATGTATAGCAAGGTGTTTTTAGCCGAAAAAAAACGACCATGCATTGTAAGGCGTTTTTCGCAGAAATTTTAGCCGAAAAAAACGACCATGTATAGTAAGGCGTTTTTAACACAAAAAAAAAACGACCATGTATAGTAAGGCGTTTTTAGCCGAAGAAAACGACCATGTATAGTAAGGCGTTTTTAGTGGAAAAAACCGACCATGTATAGTATGGCGATTTTAGCCGAAAAAAACGACCATGTATAGTTAGGCGTTTTTAGCCCAAAAAAAACGACCATGTATAGTCAGGCGTTTTTAGCCCAAAAAAAAAACGACCATGTATCGTAAGGCGTTTTTAGCCCAAAAAAATGACCATATATAGTAAGGCGTTTTTAGCCCCCAAAAAACGACCATGTATAGTAAGGCGTTTTTATGCCGAAAAAACAACCATGTTTAGAAAGGCGTTTATTGCCGAACAAAAACGATTCTCTATAGCAGTGGATCTTAACCTGGATTTGATCGAACCCTAGGTGTTCGGTGAATGGGTCTCAGGGGTTCGACAGAGCCTCTGCCATGGAGGGTAAGGCACACCCGACTCAACATGTCAATTAGTTATGACACGCCCGCTTGGCCATCACTCGCTGGTTCATTTTGTGCACAATTTAAAAAACGTATACTTTTGTCTTGATATTTTACCTACTTTTTTTCTGTTTTTAATAAATGCATTTTTTCATGTCTCGATTTTGTCCAAAAATAAATAAATAAATAAAATGTTTTTCTTTTTCACTTATGAAGGGTTCGGTGAATGTGCCTATGAACTGGTTGGGTTCGGTACCTCCAACAAGGTTAAGAGACACTGCAGTAGACGAAAGAGCACTACATACTAGTCACAGGATGATTCCCGGTTTAACGGTTTACTGTGGCTTTAAAAAGTCAAGGTTTCAATTCCTGCCAAAACTGTCCATCATCAGTAATGAGCTCTTTTCTTTTTTTTGAGGGACATCTCAGCAGGACACAATATGACTGACTGCTTGCAGAGATCACTAAATGAGCCCCTTTTTCAAAGTTAATTCTGAGAGGCCAGTGGATTATTCTTTCTCTTTTTTTTGTTCTCCAGCTTGGCTCAAAAGAGAAGGGAGGGGCGAGCTGTTCCAGGGTGAAGGAGTGAGAGGAAGGATGGAGGGAGATCACAGCCAGACTGCACACCGTAAATAAATAAATAAATACACCAAAAAGCTCGATTGCCAGCGGGTACTAGTAAGTCCCCCAAGGAGAAGATGAGTAGCCTTCCAGTCTGTTCTAAAAATAGCTCCTCCTAATGGGAAATTGTCGTCCTATGAATAATTACAATGGAAGAAGATGAATATTTCTTTCATTACTTTTTTTATGTTCCAAACATTCTATAATTTCTTTAAAATTAAAATAGGTGTTGTTATATGGGGAAAAAAATGCTGTTTTTATTTAGCCCATTGTTTTTTTTTTAAACAACGGACATTTTTGAGCTTTAATTTTAGTACTTTTATACGCACTGCGACCGACATATTTTTCCAATGCAAACGTTGGCATTACAGTTTCTGAGAATGGTGCAAGAATGTCGGGCTTGTGGTGAGCAAGTCCGCTTCACTCCCTAATGAGAACAAGCGGTATAGAAAATGATGAAACTGACCAGTGTGAAGCTGTCATATGTTTTCATCAACTCCTCTGTTCGATACTGTTCCAGCACCACCACTCCTGTCAACGATGGGCTCTTAGCACGGGCGCAGTCCTCACAGTGCACCACATAGGTCTTCTTAGCGCTATGTTCACTGGTCACGAACAGCATGTTGAACACCTCCACCTGCAAAAATACCAAAAAGTCGGTCACACACACAACTACACAGCGGACAACATCGGGGGAAAATGATGAGTTAGGGGAAACTGACGTCACACTCATTGCAGTAGTAAGCCGGCTCATCCTTTAAACGACTCTGATAACAGATTTTCTTTCCTGATGCCACCAATTGTTCCCTCAATATCTGGATATGCTTGATGGACTGCAGTAGGCAGTGTCTGGCAGAGGAGGAACAGAGTGGAACATTTAAACTATACATTCCCACCTTGCAGTATAGTTTGGTCCAGCTCATCTCAGTACAATTTGGAATGATTAAAGCCGCTGTGACATCAATATTTGTACGTGTTCTTCCCATTCAATTTCCATCATACTTGTCACTCAGGAAGTCACTGCTCTATATTGATCATGCTAAAAGACTCTACACTCCTGTACCACTGCTGCTAGTACCTCTCGGGTAGAGTTAAAAAAAAAAAAACATTTTAAAAAGTGTAAAAAGTTAAGTCCTGAGCCGAACTGTACTGCTTGGTGGATTATAGGACATCGGGTGATAATAATAACAAAATGATTAGCACCAACAACAAACTTACTTAATCATCTTGAAGGTGTCATGGTCTGTGATTTTGATGGTGCGAGCCACATTCCAGGAAACGTGGATCATGGGAACAATTGACTTAACTTTCTTCAGCTCATTCCACTCGTATCGCTCCAGGGCGAGTTGATACTGGTATGCTAATCAACAGAACAAACAGCGCAAACAAACACGGTGTCAAGATAAGTGAAAGGAAACTGAAAATTTGTAAATTGAGACAAAGAGATTACGATACAGCAGCTGTGTTATAATTTTCTCAACGGGCTGGTTCACATTACTCACAGTTTAAAGGACCCACGTTCCAGGCGATGTTGTTACACCAGCCCACTGCTTGGACCCAGTGCACAGTCCCTGCATTGATCCACACCAAGTCGCCTGGCCTCTGAATGAAACGGTACACGGGGATGTTGGAACTGTAGAGGTCTTCCAGAACTGGCCACCAGGACCCTGTGAGGTAGTCTACTCCATGCCTGAGGCACAAGTACAATTTGAGAAACTGACTGTTGGAATATGTTTTCTCCCGTTCAAACCAAGCCTCCTCACTCACTTCTCACAAAATGTGTTGATAGCCTCCCAGTAGTGCTCATGGACAGCAAACCACTCACAGTCACCTGGTCCAATATTTATGTTGACTGAGCAGAAGTTGTTGTTCTCCTGGTGACCTGAGGGAAAAACAACGCATTTGAAACTTGTCATCCAATTGCGCAAAGTCAGCATTGAAAACAAGAAATGTCAATTCTCTCAATTGGATGAGGATTCTGAGAGATTCTTTTGTCCAATTAAAAAAAATAAGAACAAAGGCCAAATCAATTAGGGACTTAGCAGCCACCATTTAAGCGATCCCTACAAACGACACTACTGTGGCTGCAAGACCAGCTTCACCAGATGCTTAGTTAGAGCTTTGATATTTGGCATCATCTGCCATTCGGTCTTCAACAGAACAAACAAATGCAATATTATGGAAGTGATGTGTATTTGGACTGAGAAAAAAAATAGCTCCCTCAATCCAAATATACATTGATTTCTTTTACTAGAGTCCAAATCAATTGGCGAAGAAATGGGGATGCTAACGCTAAATGTACATGGGCAGTTGATACAGTCTGGCCCATCACTGTTGCAGACCTGTATAAAAGGAGATTTGATATTGCCATGGCAACAACAAAGAGGCTATTTATTCCAAGCCACGATACAACATAGACTTTTGGAAAGACATTTCTCTAAAATTACTTGTTTACCGAAAGATTGGTAGTTTTAATTCATATTCACAAATTCTTAGGCCACAATTAGCTTGGCAATTTTGATAAACTTTTTCACAGCAGCCATTTTGACGGTGTAGACGAGTGGGGTACAAAGTAGGTAGGACCTGTCATTACGGTAACATATTTGGGTCCCATTCCATTTAGGTTACACTGAATACCTCCCACTTAACCTATGGATGTTGTTGTTGTTTTTATTTTATTTTTTTACTAAAAGAAGCAAAAGTGACATCCATTTAATGGCCAGGGTACAATAGGATCACTAATACAAAGTGCCTACAGGTCGGCGCAGATATTTCCACAGAACCGAATGCATAAACGACAAGCGCTCATTAAAGCCGCACCGACCTGGTGTCCGGCTGCCTGGAACTTTCATGTAGAGCTGGACAGTGTTCATGCCCAGGATTGTGTGTCCGACATGACTGAGCATGTTGTTGACTGACTCCACTCGCATGAACGCTGGCAGTTTGAGCAGCTCCTGCAGCTGGGGTTTCCACCTTAGAGAAATATGGCAGATGGTGTCAAACAACTACTGTCCTTGCTTGACTGGCCAGAAGTGTTTTGAACTCACCGTTTCGGGTCTGAGAGATCTATGTTGGTACCAAATTTGATTATCTTTCCAACAGACTTCAGTTCCGAGCTGGGAAGGAACGGTAAAGTCTGAATATCAGAAAACTCCAAATTTATTATGATTATTATTTTTCATAAATTCAATGTCATCTTTTATGGTAACCTGGGTGTGTTGGCACCAGAGTTTTTGCTGGACGGGAGCGCAGAAGCGGCTTTGATGTCATTAGAGGTCGGGCTGCCTTTACTGCTAGTCGATGTCACACCTGCTTTCGCAGTAGATGACGTATTTGAGGGGTCAGCTTGTTCCTCTTCCTCTTCGTTCTCACTCTCCTTCTCTTCGTTCTCACTCTCCTTCTCCTCCTATAAAACGTCTACATGAGCTAAGCTGGCAGGTTGGTCAATGGCAACAAGTCTGTCCATCATTACATTCCACTTAATTTCACAACCTTAGGGCGTAAGGCGCATATTACTATTTTCAAATATTTTAAAAATTTTATGGCTGATGAGGAAAATAAGAACAGATCTTCCAATTTGCATCCGCACAATATAATGAGATACAAAACCAAGCTCAACACCGCGTGCTTGATGAGTACATGTGTGGGCGCCCCGAGGAAAAACGCCTACCTGCAGGCTCTCCTGGAAGCTCGAGGCTTGGTACTGAGCGTATTTGGCAATGGTGGTATGTGAGCGGCTGCTCTCGCAGGGCCACGTCTGAGTGGAGCCACGGGAATCCCAGTTTTCATCAGCGGGCTGCTGGACCTGAGTCCTCACCTCCACGGCATGCTCTGCATTGGCCTCCACCAGAGATTTGGTGGAAAACAAGCCAAGGTCTCACATAAAGAAAAAAAAAACAGTAACATTTGTATCTGACGTTTCTTGATCACATTTCACTTGAGATGAGGCCAGTGAAAACCTCCTGCTACTCTGTGTTCATTTGTGGGAGCATGACATTCACAGGTGATTAGGTTAAAGGCTATGTAAAAAAAAAAGATGTGACAAACGTAAAACGGGAATGCTGCTTGAAGGATCTAAATCAAGGGTCACCAACATGTTGCTTATGGGCACTGGCTAGCCCCCAAGGACCAATTGATTAGCCCGCGGGCCTGCACAATAAACAGCTTACCAGTGATGGGGCATTGTCATTTTCTAGGAATGTTGTGATCGTTTTAAAATATAAGCACTGGCAGAGATTTAGCGTTGCAGATATTTGTCTGTTTTCCAGTCATTGTGAGAAATCTTTAACACAATCGGCGTCTTCACATAAATGAGTGTCAGTAATTATTCATCAAATATACAATAATATTCATTGTTAAAGATAGTCTGAGAATATTTGTTATTTAAGAAGTCAAATGGGTATCAAAATGGTCGCCCTTCCCATTGATCAGTACCCAAGTAGGATTTCTCACTTTCAAAAAGGTTGGTGGTCGCTGATTTAGATCTTTCCCAAAATGGTGACAAGGTTTCGAAGACACAGTCCTTCTTGGAATCATCTTCGATCTCTTTTTCATTTGTAAAATCATCTCTGAGTGTATAGATATAACGCATACCGTATTTACACATAAAGTATTTCAAGTAAATAACATGATTGGATAAACTTCCACGAGATCTGTCTTCAAGGGATTGCATGTGTTGCACCGTAGGGTTTCACACACTAATGACAAAGAATAAAGAGCAATTATTGGCTCGGTAGCCTCAGAATTTGTGTTGTGTATAAACTCACTGAGGCGGAGTGAGCCGGCGAGGCCTCTGATGACAGTCACCGCATTTTTGGGATCGGTGCAGAACTGAAGCAGGACTGGTGAGAAGGCGTCCCTCCTGCTCTCCAACTGCAAAATTCTACCGTTAGCAACATCATACTCAACACACTGTGGGAGCGCTATTCGTTTCATATCTTTTGATTGCTTCAAATATTTTGTGGGGCCTGGTACATGAATATTCGAATGCACTGATAGTCAAACTTCTCGAGCGTCAGTCGAATCTCAACCGCATTATGGAAAGGCCTATGACTGAATACGACATGAGACGCTCGATACTTGTGTGGACTCACATAGATACTTGGCGTGGGAGGGTTGAGCTTTTCCCGAGGTATGGGAATCTGGATGGAAAGTTTCGGTTTCACAGAAAGGGAAGGAAGCAGGTACGACTCCTTGAATTTCTCCTTAACCTTTGCCCCCCTGTGATGAAAAGGAGAAAGCAAAAGCGTGGGACTGTGTTGAATTATTCTTTCGGATCAAAAGGAACAAGAATGATCTTGGGGGGCGGGGGGATACTTACTTGCAAGCTCGCACCACATCGGCGGCTGTGTTTTGGATGGTGATCTGACAAAGTGGGATTTTCTGCTCTTCCACTTTGGCGGTGTTGAACGTGCGTATGCTATCGAGCTTCATCTTCACCAAGAGGACCTTCAACTCCTTGTTAAAGCCCATGGACAACATTTTCAGCTTGAGTGGGTCAAGAGAAGCCGGCGTGCCAAGAGATTTACTCGCTGGGGTACTGGTGCACAATTTGGATGCGCTGAGAGTTGCTAACAAGCTTGTGGTTTTTTTAGTGTCGGAGATTCCGGCTCCTGATGATGATACAGCAGTTCCAAGCACGCTGACATCACCTTTCATCTTTTTTATGATGTTTGCTTTCGCTTTTTCTAGTTTCACTCGCTTTTTGGGCACATCTTTGCTGGGAGGGGATTTGCGTTTGTTACGTCTGCGTTTAGATTTGGGGCTGACGGTGCTTTTCTCTTTCTTGATCTTAACTTTGACCCGCGGCTGGTGATTTCTCTCCGTGTTCTTTCGCCTCTTGTCTTTGCTCGAGACAAGGAGGTGGTTCAAAGAGGTGGTGTGGGTGGCGGTCAGTCTCAGCTCCGCACTGAGCGAGTGGTCCAAAAGAGAGACGTCTTTTGCGGTTTGGATGTCTTCATCGTGAGCCTCTCGTCTCTCTTTCACATCAACATCAGGCTGCTCTATTTTGCCTGTGGGGTTGTCTGTGATGGGCTCACGCTCAACTGTCTCGCTGCATTTTTCCAAATGTAGATTACATTGACTATTAGTTTCTGAGGATGATGCTGGGTGTGACTCGAGGGCAGAATCTTGTTGCTGCTGACAGTTAATATCTGGTCCCCGAGCAAGAGAGGAAGAAAACTTAACCCCATCGGCAGTCAAAGCAGGAGAACCCCCAAATGGGCCCCCTCGACACGCGGTCCTCTGGCCACTGAGAAAAGTGGCCAGGCTCTTGAAGACGTCATCCAGGCCTGATTTGTGATGGAGCTCGTGGTGTAGAGAGGCGGCTTTTTCTGGAATTTCTTTCTTCATCTCCTCTTCAAGAATAGGATGAGTTGTACTTGGTAGATCGTGTGGTGCTGAACAATCTGCCGGTTTACTTTCAACGGACCCCTGAAACCCATCATTAATATTCTCGTCTTCGAAGGCCGGAGGGGAAAAACTGGGCTGGAGGGCAGGTCTGCTTATCATTCCCTTTTCCATCTCGTCGTCATCGTCTCCCGCATCCGAGACTGGTGAGCCCTGCCAGCTGAGTACAGGGGGAGTGTTAGCGAGGTTTTCACCCACTTCACCATTTCCAATCACACCCACAGGCTGGAGATCCGGGGCGTGGAGGAGTCCTCCTTGCCCTTTGCCTTGGGCTGACTGCTTGATGCTTACGGAACACACTGCACTGGGAGGGTCTAAGGCTTCATACAAAAGGGAAGGCAGCGTATCGTTCGGGTTTGATTTTGGTCCCTCGGCTGTGGTCAGGTTGGGGCTGTTTCTCGTGGGGAGTGAGTGTCCGTGCTTGTTTTGGGGCATATGTGGTGGAGAAGTACCCTTAGGAAGAAAAGATTGACCGGTGGAAAGACGATCCTCTTCCGAAGAGTTAGAAAGAAGACAGGAGCCATAAGTTTCCTTCTGTATGTTTTTAGCTTTCAGGGTTATTTTCTTTTCCTTCCTTGCTGCCTTATCCCTTTTTTTCTTTTTCTCAGCTAATTTCCGTTCTTTTTTCTTCCATTTCTTTCGATCTTCAGCCTTTTTCTTTGCCGTTGTGACATCATCCCATCGCTCTCTTTTCACCAGTTCATCATTTTGTAAGCGCCCAACTGTTTTTCGGGCTTCCGACTCCTTTCCTGGCTTGTTTATTCTTGAGCTGCCGTGCGGAGACAAGCGCAGATGCTGCGAGGTCTCCTTGTATTTGACATCTGAAAACTTGGATTTGGGACGAGCTGGACATGGATGAGATGGGATCGAGGTTGAGCCGAACTTTGCTATGTGGGTGGGGCTTCCCTGGACTTTTGGTTGGCCACTGTGGCCAGGGATACGTTGTTGACTGCTGCTGGCTGCTTTGTGTAATGGATGGCTAACACGTGGACTGTGAGCAGACTCTTTTGAATGAAGGGAGGAATATTTAGGAGGCTCTTCTGCAGAAGGCCTGAAGTTGGCCGGCTCTCTTGAAATGCCTCTGATGTTACGTTGAACTTCCTGCCGAGTAAATACGAATATTTTCAAGATTTGAGATTACTCGTGGAACAAATTCTGGTTTGCAATCTCTATTCTATTTGATACCACGGGTGTTCCGGTCAATGCTGTGTCGGTCACAAGTTATTCAACGCCAAAACACACAAAGCCTCAAAATGTCTTAACTCATTCACTCCCAAAGACGTTTTTAAACGTCTTTTCAGACTTGGTCTAGAATTGGCTGGTCCTGAATGAGTTTTAACAAGCCCAAATAAGTGTACAGTGGATGTAAACTCACCAGCGGGTAAGAAAAAAATTTTAACAATCCCGTACTGTGCTTTGCTTGCGGGGATGATTCCTTGAGTCCTCCTCTTCTTCCTCAAGGCGGTGTGTCAAAGGTTTGTGCTGTTCAGCTCTGAGGTGGCGAGTGTGCCGCTGTGGGTGGTAGTGAGGATTTTGGTGGCTGTAAGGCACACGGGTGTGTTCTGCTGGTGAAGACATTTTTCGATAACTGGTTCCGAGATGTGAAGCCCTGCTGCTGCAACCCTGGTTTTGAACCGTTAGGTCACCGTTGCAAAAGCTATGTCCTCCAGCGCGTGATTTTGAGGTCTCCTGTATAAAGAATAAATGGAATCTAAAATGTCGGGCAATTTTAAAAGAAGTACGCGAGTATACCTGTTGCTGTGTTGTTGAGGTCCTGTGGTGAGAGGGGTGGCTAGGACCTGCCGTGTCATGAGGAGGCTTCCAGTTGTCTTGGTTACAACGGTGGTGGCGAGGTGGGGGTGGTGGATGGGCAACAAAATGCCTTGATCCAGGATGAGATGACTGGACAGAGGGACAAATATTCATTCAGATGAAGAGAATGCCACATTTAAGTGAGTTTAAGAGGGCTAAATAATGGTACGGTAGGTTATTAAGACATTCAAGTACACGTGTCGTAAACAAAGGTGCAATAAAAAAAGCGCTTTTTGCCTGATGGTGTGCAATGCATGGTTAACTCTCAGTGGGGTGGACTATAGCATCTACTTCACATCCACCTAGCTTCATCATAATTGCCTCTCAGTCTACAATTATCACTTGGAACGTCATGAGCCATTTGGGATTATTCCTCTTGGGCAAAAACTGAAGGATCCAACCGTCAAGCTAATGATTGGTGAACACCATATACCTGATCAGGACCTGAGTCCCGGCTCCTCTTGGCTGGACACTCCTCCCTCGTTGATGTCGGGTGCTGCGGGGGTGAACTATGCTGGTGGATTTGGTCTTGGCGCTGGTGAGAGGCTGGCCGTTTCCAAAGCCCGGGCCTGTCATTAATCATTCGAGCGGGGAAGGTCCTGCGAAAGTCTGAGGGAGCCCATCTTTCTGGGGGGAGCTGGGGCTCTCTGTTGTTGCGGTGCAGACGAGGACTCCCGTGCTAGAGCCAAGAAGAGAAACATCACAGTCTTTCATCATCATGTTAAGTGAACAAACAGCATTTACTCCCATGAAAAGATACTTTCTTCACAAGCCCCCTTCTGAAGGCCTCACCAAAGAGTTGCTGACATTGCTGTCCCAGTTTGTGTAGCGCTCTCCTGGTCTTGTTAGATAACCATTGTTGGTGCCAGCTCGGTTGTGGAATGAGCGCCCAGAGTTGTGATGCCAGTTCTGACCCTCAAATGGCTGTTCTTTACCATCCCAAACATGGAGAGACTGCCTGTGCCCCTTAGAGGAACCCTTGTCTTGGGGATAGTGAACCGTCCGTTGCCCCCTTGGCAAAACAAACAGACTGATTAACAAACATCATGGTGGAGGATGAATTGAAGATAATCATCGCAAAAACAAAAAGCATAGGTGGGAAAAAAAAGGGCCTTTTACACACCAGACACCTCATTTGGGTTCACCTGCATAAGAGCCGTTTTCATAAATCTGCTACCGTTTTTTAAAACTTGAACAATTCTGAGCTCGATCAGGCAACCATAATAATATAATAACTTGCTTGAAACAAGGTTTAAATCAAACGTTATATGCCGACTCTGGGCAAAAATGCTGATTTATTTTCAACAGTTTAGACTTGGATAATGAGATGGCTAGCTATAGCAGCCCAAGTGTACAGTCACCATTTTCATAGCTAAACATCCAATGAAAGATTCCAGGTGAGTGTTTCACTTTTTTTACTTTTCACCTGTGGTATTGACGACTTGACGGTGAGATGAGATGATCAGCTGGAATGCGTCCTCCATTGCATCTGCAGCAACCGATAAACACATTGTTCATGCACTCACATTTAACTTTCACAAAGTACAGTCAAGGTTCGCCGCTCGTGTTGCACTTCCTTTGTATTTACTGATCGTATGGAAGATTAAGTGGTTAGTATGGTTTTGCTCGGAGCAAAATCCACCAGTTCACTCGTGATGTATCGCTGCGGCTTCTCTCAGTGGAGATGCTGTGGGCTCATTCACTCGTGTTGAAACCGCACCCTCCAAGTGCAGCTGAGCTAAGTGCTTCTTCTTAAATGCGCTCGTCAAAGTTAATCAGCCTGTGTCGCTGGCTGTCACTCTTCAATCAACGCCACAGAGGCTGGCGTTAAACCTGATGCTAACTTGCCATTGGCGCTGGCATGAGAGCAAAATTGTGCCAAATGATGAACACATTTTCATTTTAAATTAAAAAAAAAAAAAAAAAAAAGACAACATGGTTGCTATCAGCATCCAACCCCTCATGTTTTAACTCTCTGGTCTCAGTGTCCATGTGTATTGCCATGCTGTTGCTGACCTTTGTGTTTGGCTCCAAGGCCGACTGTTTACCGGGGCCCATTGTCCTCTGTTTGGTCCTCCATCTGGATAGGAGTGCCATGTTTTACGGCTCGAGTACAGCTCTGCTGGGTGATACATGCAGCCTGCAACAGACATGGTTGCAAGTTGTTTTGCTCTCAATGATTTATAGAATTTATTATTGGTAGGGAACGCAAAGAAAGCATCACTAAAAGATGAACCACTGGATCAAAGCACTTGTTTCACCTTCTTTGTTACACATAGTATTGCTGTAAACATTATTTATCAATGTAAATAGGGCTCTAAGATCGCAAGGAAACAAATCTCATCTTCGTAAAATATGCAATTTATTTTGTTCTGGTGACAAAAATAATGGTCTGCAGGGCGAATCATAACTTGAAAGGGGTCTTCTATTCATGTCAGTGAAATTCAATGACAGCAGCGAGTAAATTACGTCATCAGATCATAGATCGTCCTGGAACCTAAATACAGTGTAAGAAGCTCTTGCTGGAAATATACTTACTTATCAGACATTTCATCCATTTCTGCTATTAAATAAAACGGCTTGACTGCTCAGTTGTACAGCATTCGGGTCTTGTGATATCGACCTCTAGTATGTTACATTGTAACTATAAATTGCATCCTCACTTAAAAAACAAACAAACAAACAGCATTGTTAAAATTATAGACCTGTGACAGTGCCAATCAAAACCAATGTTTCTTGGCAAAGGGAACATTCTGATGCAACTCTTCTACTGGATCTCACTTCATCATGTGCAAATGTGCATCGTGACATTTGCAGCGAGTACGTGTAATTTGATTAGAGCATCTCTACAAAGTACCCGTGACACCTACGAAGCACTTCGATAAAAAAAAAAAAAAAAAAATACTATGTAATTATCAGTCTGTCTGTGTTCAGGAGGCCCTCCACTTCCCACCTGAACAGACAAAACATATGACTCAGTGATGTATTGATAT